CAAAAAAAAAAAAAAAATGCAGGGTGAGCACCCAGGCCCAGAGTTCAAGCCCCACAGCCAACAAAAACAAAAAAAACAAAGAGGAAATGTTGAGTTATGCCAAGGAAAAATACTGTACAGAGACCAAGAAGACTGAAAAATATCATTGGGTTTGGAAATTAGTTAGTGGGAAAGTTTTGTGAGATCAAGGCCGGACTTAGAAGAGCAGTATGTAATTAGATCCTTTTGCAAATAGAAGATCAAATGATCAGGTGGACAGCTTAGACCTATATGAAGTACTGAGAAGGCAAAGATAGTATTAAGGCTACATTTATATATTTATAGAAAGATATGTTGGTAGATCTGAGGGAAAGACAGCTGCTGGCATTTGCCTTCCTGGTATATGAGAGGCAAGGTCACTTGCTGAGAGTAAGGTAGTATTATAGAAGGCTGACATGGGAAAAGATTGGAATAGTTGCTGCAGGAATCAGGAAAGTTGAGCATACCTATTTGGGATTTGAGTGTAGTTTAGAGAACTTTCAGTGAACCAGTAAAAATGGTTGTGACTTTACCCATACTCAGCAGCTAAATGTAAAAGCAAGGATAGTTGATGATTAAGTTGATCCTGAGTGTGAGAACTTTTTTTTCTCTGTGCTGGTACTGGACCTTAAACTCGGTCTTGCACTGTCCCTTAGCTTTTTCACTCAACAGCTGGTTCTCTACCAGTTGAGCACAGTTCCACTTTACTGGTTAATTGGAGGTAAGAATCTCCAGGATTTTTCTGCCCAGGCTGGCTTTGAACCTCAATCCTCAGACTTCATCTTCCTAAGTACCTGAGCTGGCTTTGAACTCCTAATCCTGCCTTAGCTTCCTTCATGCTGGGATTATAGGTATATGCCATATTGTCCACAAAAACAACAGGTTGGAAGCCAGCTCAGGCAGGAAGTTCATGAGACTCTTAACTCCAATTAACCACCAGAAAACTGGAAGTGGAGCTGTAGTCCAAAGTGGTAGAGTGCCAGCCTTGAGCGAAAAAGCTCAGGGACAGTGCCAGGCCCTAAGTTCAAGCCCCGTGACCAACCCCCCCCCCCAAAAAAAAAAACAAAAGATTAAATACATATCGCTATATTGCCTAGCGTCAAATGTTTACATTTTATTGGTAATACTGACTTTGTAAATATTATAATCTTTGTCCTAATGGAGTTGAATTCTAGTCAGGGAGGGCCATTATACAGTAAAAAGTGTATTACATGGTAAATAAATGCTGGAAACAAAGGAGGGATAGGGATTGTTAGGTAGGGAGAATACAGTGATTTGAGCTGTGGTTTTAGACTGGGTGGTAAGGAAAGTCCTTCCTGAGAAAGACTTTAAGACTTGAAGGAAACCTTTCAAGTGCACACAACTAATCTTAGAAACTCAGGAGGCTGAGATCTGAGGATTATGGTTTGAGGCCAGCTCGTATAGACAAATCTATAAGACTCCTAAATTGACCAGCAGAAAGAAGCTGGAAATGGTTCAAATGGTAGAGTGCCAGCTGTGAGTGAAAAAGCTTAGTAAGAGCATGAGACTCTAAGTCCCAGCGTTGGCAAAGGAAGAAGGGGAGAGGGTAGAGAAGAGCTGGGAGGGGAAGAAGGGAAGAAAAAGAAGAGGAGGAGCAGGGAAAGGAAGTGAGCCATGCAGGTAGATATCTGGGGGCAGAATGTTCGGGGCAGAATTGTGTCTCTGACTCTAGTTCTGCCATGTGTCTCCTGCTTATATGTTCAAGGAATAGCAAGGCAAAACCATATGGCAGGAGTGCTGTGAGCCAGGAGCATAGTGAATTAGATAGAGATCGTGTCAGGTGGAGCTTTTACAGTGCCTGCTGGACCAATATAAGGGCTTTAACTTTTCCACAGTGTGAAGCCCTTGTATTTTGAATACAGGAATGGTTGTAGTTTATTAAGATCATGGTGGGCAGAAGCCAGAGACCAGTGGGAGGCTATTGGAATAATCAAAGTTACTTTTGGTGTTCTCTTTGGCAAGAGAGAACTGAATTCTTAAAATTTATTTTTCTTTTGTGTATGTGCGCTAGTCCTGGGACTTGAATTCAGGATCCAGGTTCTGTCCCTGGCTTTTGGGATTAAGGCTAGCACTGTGCCACTTGAGCCATACCTTCACTCCAAGCTTTTTGGTGGTTAATTGGAGATATGAGTTTCAAAGCCTTTCCTTCCCAGGCTGGCTTTGAACCTTGATCTTCAGATTTCAGCCTCCTGAATAGCTAGGATTATAGGGGTACACCACCCTACTTGCATTTTTTCTTTTTTTTTGATAGGTTGTAGGGCTTGAAATCAGGGCCTGGGCATTGTCCCTGAGCTTTTTCGTTCAAGGCTAGTGCTCTACCACTTTGAACCACAGCACCACTTGGTTTTCTGGTGATTAATTAGAGTCTCACAGACTTTCCTGTCAGAGCTGGCTTTGAACTGCAGTCTTCAGATCTTAGCCTCCTGGGTAGCTAGGATGATAGCCATGAGCCACTGGTGCCCAACTCAAATTACTTTTTAATCAAACTTTTTTGTTTACTCCATATTGTCTGTGCTAGTCTTTTGACTAGAGCAACAAATGTTTAAGTCTGCCTCTGACAAAGTACAAAGTTTATTGGCCCAGATAAAGATTAAACCACTGAATGTAGTCAAGTGGAAAATTTCTTCTGAACTCACTAGTTGAGGAAAGTTAATTAAAGTTGGAGATTCATAGGTTGTTTGCATTATAGCTTTTTTCTTTAATAAAATTTACAGATTTTTATGTAATTAATATTAAATTTGTAATATAATGTTTTATCAAATCTAAGATACAGTTAAATGAAACATCTTGCTTTTTGTGATTCTGGGTATTCAACTTAGGGCTTCACACTTGTAGGCAGGAGCCTTTTTGCTTTAGTCATTTTTCAAGTGATTTTTAAATTAGTTTTTATTAGGTAGTTGGATAAAGGGATTTCAATTTTATAAGTCAGGTTATGAGTGCATCTTAATCAAATGTTTTTTTTTTTTTTCCTTTTTGTGCCACTTCTGGGGCTTGAACTTGGCCTAAGCGCTGTTTTTAAGCTTTTTTGCTTTACCACTTGAGCCATAGCTCCACTTTTAGCTTTTTTGGTAGTTGGAGATATGAGTCTCTCAGGCTTTCCTGCCCCAGCTGGCTTCAAATCATGACTCTCAGATCTCAGCCTCTGAGTAGTTAAGATTATAGATATGAGCTATTGTCACCTAGCAAGTAGTTTTTTGATGAATAGTGTTTATGCTTTGGATGGCCTGGATTATGATCCTCCAGTTTACACTTAATACAAAGCTCGGATGTGGTGGTATGCCAGTACCTCTAACTTTCATTGGTCAGGATGAGATTTTCAAATTTTTTGCTTGGGCTGGCCTCCAACAGCAATCTTCCACATCTCTGCTTCTTGAGTAGCAAGGATTGTAGGCATGAGCCACCAGTGCCCAGCGAAAGATCTTTTACTATATACTTTTACCAGTGCCTAGTGAAAGCCCTTCTTTAATGTAGATATATAGATAAAATGAGCTTTAGTACTTTCTTAGATTTAGAAGGAAGAAAATTATTACCAGTTAATTTGTAATTTGTCATCAGTTGAAAGATAGATCTATCGCAAATGTATTAAAATATAAATATACACATCTAGAGTTGATGAAATGGAGCAGTTAACTTTCAGTGAAATTGTGTGATGTGAGAGATTAACATTGTAGAGACTGGCTTTTCTATTATACACCCTAGTTATTAGAGAAAGGATGTTGGTTCGATTCCTCAGCAACACATAAGCAGAAAAAGTGGCACAAGTAGTAGAGCGCTAGCCTTGAGCTGAAGAGCGGAGGAACAGTGCCCAGGCCCAGAGTTCAGGCCCCACGACTGGAAAAAAACCAAAACAAACAAAACAACTAGCAAGACCTTATCTCTTAGAACAATCTAGGCATAATAGATCATAGCTGTAATTCCAGCCACACAGAGGCATAGATAGGAGGATTGTTCTGAAGTCAAGGGAAGCATGGATAAAATTTTAAGAATTTAGTGTAGGGGCTGGGAAGGTGGCTCAGTGGTAGAATGCTTGCCTTGCATGCCTGAGGCCCTGAGTTCGATTCCTCAGCACCACATAAGAAAAAAGAAAAAAGCCGGAAGTGGTGCTGTGGCTCAAGTGGTAGAGCGCTAGCCTTGAGCTGAAGAGCTGAGGGACAGTGCCCAGGCCCAGAGTTCAGGCCCCACGACCGGACCCAAAAAAAAAAAAAAAAAAGAATTTAGCGTAAGAACAGGGGATATTATTGAATGGTAGACCACTTACCTAGCAGGTACAAGGCCCTAGGTTCTTCCCTGGCATTGTAAGTGGGAAAATCATCTCATTGACAGCAAATGGAAGCTCTTAAGTAGGCAACTTACCCAGTTCTTCAAATGCATTGAAGCTTATATAGCATTATTTTTGGCTTTACGTTAGTATTTTTCTTAGTACATCACATATTTGTAATATGTTTATATTTGCTAATTGCAGTGTATATTCCTGAATTAAAAGAAGCAGTATTTTTTCCTTTTATGCTGAAAGGTAGGCACATTCCTTAAATTAGAATACTTGAACTTTAATGTCCCATCTTCTTGGAAAATAGTTTTCTTTTTAGATGAAATGATAACAGATGGTGATTAGCTAAGTGGTGTGTGCAAAGCTGACTTTAATTAAACAGTATAGAATAAAAATTGGTTAAGGTAATAGCACTACCCCAAACCATGCCGCAATGTAGATGTGTAGATAAAATTAGCTTCACTACTTTTTTTAGATTTGAGATTCTTCATTTTTTGTGTGGTCTTATTGTCTGAGAGAAGAATTAAGTTGCATGAAAGCACACAGAGCCAGTGTGGTTCATGCCTGGATCCTAGCCCTTGAGAATTGAAAGCCAGAGTTTAAGTCCTGCCGAGGCTACATAATAAAACCTTGTCAAAATAAAAATAAAAAATAAGAATAAAATTTTAATTAAAGTATTCATTTATTTTTCTAGCTTAAAGCAATAAGTGTAGATCTTCAAAGTGATGCTGCTCTACAGGTGGACATTTCTGATGCTCTTAGTGAAAGAGATAAAGTAAAATTCACTGTACATACAAAGGTAAATGAGATTTTGTATTATTTTAGCTATTGTGTTAATATTGTAGTAATGTTATGTTTGAGTAAAAAGGTTCTTTTTGTGCTGGTCCTAGGACTTGAACTCAGAGTCTGGGTGCTCTTGAGCTTTTTTTTTTTTACCCTCTTAAAGCTACTGTTTTACCACTTGAGCCACTGCTGCTCTACTTACGGCTTTTTAGTGAACTCATGACCTAAGTGCAGTTCCTGAGCTTTTGTGCTTAAGGCTAGTGTTCTACCACTTGATCCATACCTCTATTTCTGTTTTTTTGGCAATTAATTGGAGGTAAGAGTCTCATATTTATCTGCCTGGGATGGCTTTGAGGTGAGAGTCTCATATCTCAGCCTCCTGATTTGCTAGGGTTATAGGTGTAAGCCTATAGTGCTCGACTCAACAGGATAATTTTTCTTTTCTTTTCTTTTCTTTTTTGTGGATCTGGTTGTGGACCTGAACTCTGGGCCTGGGCACTGTCCCTCAGCAATTCAGCTCAAGGCTAGCCTCTACCACTTGAGCCACAGCACCACTTGCGGCCTTTTTTTTCTGCTTATGTGGTGCTGAGGAATCGAACCCAGGGCCTCATACATGCAAGGCAAGCGCTCTATCACTGAGCCACCTTCCCAGCCCTCAACGAGATAATTTTTAAGTGATGAGAGCAGTATAATATGATAACTACCTATCTGCTTACTTTCCCAAAGAGGGGAAAATAGTTTTTCAGCTTATCTTATAATTTTTCATGTATAGTTTAAAGTCTCTGATAGTCTTTGTATTTAAAATCAAAGACCTAAAATGTTTATTAAACATTACATCTTAGTGTAATTTTCACTTTTATTCACAAGAATCTCATATTTTTGTAGAGTTCATTGCCAAATTTTAAGCAAAATGAGTTTTCTGTTGTCCGACAACATGAAGAATTTATCTGGCTTCATGATTCCTTCGTTGAAAATGAAGACTATGCAGGTTACATTGTAAGTACAAAGATTTCATTTTCTAGCAGCATTTTTAGATACTTAATGTGTTGTAATCTTGTTTAGCATTTTTACTTACCAATTGATTTTTCAAACTGCTAGTTACAAAACACTGGGCTACTGTGTGTTGTGTGTGTGTGTGTGTGTGTGTGTGTGTGTGTGTGTGTGTGTGTGTGTGTGTGTTTGTGTGTGTGTGTGTGTGTGTGTTGTGTGCGTGCACATGCACGCGCTAGAACTAAGGCTTGAACTCAGGGCCTTTAACTCTCTTTTAGCTTTTTTGTACAAGGCTGGCACTCTTCCACTTGAGTCACACCTCCACTGCTGGTTTTTTGCTGGCTAACTAGAGATAAGGGTCTCAGAGGCCTGATCATTGGCTTTGAACCTCGATCCTCAGATCTCAGTCTTCTGAGTAGCAAGGATTACAGGCATGAGCCACCAAACCCTGCAAGGCTATTACCTTTTTTTTTCTTTTTGTCTGTTGTGGGCCCTGAACTCTGGGCCTGGGCGCTATCCCTCAGCTCTTCAGCTCAAGGCTAGCACTACCACTTGAGCCACAATGCCACTTCTGGCTTTTTCTGTGTTTGTGGTACTGAGGAATCCAACCCAGGGCCTCATGTATGCAAGGCAAGCACTCTACCACTGAGCCACCTTCCCAGTCTGGCTATTACCTTTTATCCTAAATTATCTTCTTATCTTGTTCAGAACTGAGATTTATTTAATTTGTTGTTTTTTATTATTCTTGGTGGTGGTAATGGATGTGGTGCTTGAACTCAGGACCTAGGCATTGTCCCTGAGCTGTTTTGCTCAAGGCTAGTCCTCTACCACTTCGGGCCATAGCTCCACTCCAGTTTTTGGGGGGTAAATTGGAGATAAGAAATTCATGAATTTTCTTGCCTGGGCCTTGAACCGTGATCCTAAGATCTTAGCCTCCAGAGTAACTAGGATTATAGGCATGCACCACCAGTGCCTAGCTAAGCTTAAATTTTTAATGCTAGAATGTCAACAGTCTTCTCCTTGGGAATTTACTGAGGGGACTATTAAATGTAACTAACAGAACCATACTGGTTCTTTGAACTCTTAGGCAGATGGGTACTAAGCAATAGAAGGCTCTGTAAGATGTTGTAATAAAAAATACATCTTACGTGCTTGCCTTGGCAGCATGTATACTAAAATTGGAACAGTACAGAGAAGATTAGCATGGCCTTGTACAAAAAAAAAAAAAGAAAAAACCCTTACTCAGCCTCAGCTTTTGACCAGAGAGTTGGGAAAGTTAGTTTTTATATAATTTCCCTAAAATCATTGTGACGTTATCCCATTTCTGTCCTTGTGGCCAGCACTCCTTTTCAGTCATTTGTTTCAGATTTTTATTTTTTATGTTTTGCTAGTCTGGAGCTTGAACTCTGGGCCTGGATTCCGTCCCTGAGCTTCTTTTGCTCAAGTCTAGCACTTGACCACTTGAACCACAGCACCACTTCTGGCTTTTTTTCTGGGCAATATATCGGAGATAGACATCTCATGGACTTTCCTGCCCTGGCTGGCTTTGAACCTCAGTCCTCAGATCCCAGCCTCCTGAGTAGCTAGGACTATAAGCATAAGCCACTGGTGCCGACTTATAGCTCAGATTTTAGTGAATGAAAAGTGGTGGTTTTCTTTTTTCATCCTATTCTTATCTTTCCTCTCTTACAAGATAGTATTTTTTCACTACTTTTGTCTTTTACAGGTTAAATGCTCCTCATAGACTAAGAGCATGAGTGTGTGTGTGTGTGTGTGTGTGTGTGTTTGTGTCGGTCGGTCGTGGGCCTTGAACTCTGGGCACTGTCCCTCATCTCTTCAGCTCAAGGCTAGCACTCCACTCCGGCTTTTTCTGCTTAAGTGGAGCTGAGGAATTGAACCAGGGCCTCATGCATGCAAGGCAAGCACTCTACCACTGAGTCACCTTCCCAGCCCCGACCATGACTTATTAATCTTTATAAAACCTGTGTTCAGCTCAGCATTATGCCTGTCCATATAGTAATAACTCAACAAAAATTTGTTAAACCATACTTGGTATTTTCTAACCCTGTTGCTTTCTTGGTACAACACTTTTCCTCCTTTCTACTCTTCCTGCCCTTTTTTTCTCCTTCCTTTTTGTTACAGTACAAGGGATTAAATCCAGGACTTTGTGCTTGCTAAGCAAGTTCTCTATCCTTGAACCATACCCCCATCCCTTCTTTCAGACTTTTCTTTTTTACTTTCCTATGATGTCAATTGTTCTTTTTTTTATTTTTTTATTTTTTTGGGGTCTGATCGTGGGGCCTGAACTCTGAGCCTGGGAGCTGTCCCTCAGCTCTTCAGCTCAAGGCTAGCACTTTACCACTTGAGCCACAGTGCCACTTCCGGCTTTTTTCTTTTTTGCTTATGTGGTGCTGAGGAATCAAACCCAGGGCCTCATGCATGCAAGGCAAGCGCTCTACCACTGAGCCACCTTCCCAGCCCCTCAATTGTTCTCTTTAGCTTCTTCTTTTTTTTTTTTTTTTGGTTGGTTGTGGGGCCTGAACTCTGGGCCTGGGCGCTGTCCCTCAGCTCTTCAGCTCAAGGCTAGCGCTCTACCACTTGAGCCACAGCGCCACTTCTGGCTTTTTTTCTTTTTGCTTATGTGGTGCTGAGGAATCGAACCCAGGGCCTCATGCATATAAGGCAAGCACTCTACCACTGAGCCACCTTCCCAGGCCTTCTCTTTAGCTTCTGTCATTGATTTTACCCTTAATAATTCTTACACATAAGCCTTTCTTCTAAGTTAATTTTTTTCTCATATCCAGCTCTTAAATGAAATGTATTGTCTGCATCTTACGTTTTATTTAAGTGTTTACTTTTTATTCAGTACTTACTTCTTGTCTGTGGATCACTAGAATGAGGTTTGTCATTACTTTCTGTCTTGTTATCATAAAGTCTTGCTTCTGGTACAATCTTTCAGTTCAGGATCCCCCAACTCTTTTTTTTTTTCCTTGGTACTGATCCTGGGGTTTGAACTCAAGACCTGGGCACTGTTTGATCTTTTTTGCTCAAGACTAGAGCTCTGTTACTTGAGCCACAATTCTACTTTTAGGTATTTGCTACTTGCCTACTATAATCTCTTGGATTTGTCTGCCTAGGCTAGCTTTGAACCTTGATCTTCAGATCTCAGCTTCCTGAGTAGCTAGGCTTTAGAGGCATGAGCCACTGGTGCCCAGCAAACCAACATGTAGTTAGGATTCTTTTTAATATCTCTTGCTGGATAGCATTGTTAGTATTCATTTATTTTCTTTAAAAAAAATCACACAGGGTCTGGGAAGGTGGCTCAGTGGTAGAGTGCTTGCCTTGCATGCATGAGGCCCTGGGTTTGATTCCTCAGCACCATATAAGCAAAAAGAAAAAAAGTTCAGGAGGCTGAGATCTGAGGATCGCGGTTCAAAGCCAGCCCGGGCAGGAGAGACCGTGAGACTCCTATCTCCAATAAACCACCAGAAAACTGGAAGTGGCGCTGTAGCTCAAGTGGTAGAGCACTCGCCTTGAGCTGAAGAGCTGAGGGACAGCGCCCAGGCCCAGAGTTCAAGCCCCACGACCACCAAAAAAAAAAAAAAAGTTGGAAGTGGTGCTGTGGCTTAAGTGGTGTAGAGCACTTGCCTTGAGCTGAAGAGCTTAGGGACAGCGCCAAGGCCTAGAGTTCAGGTCTCACGACCGGACCCAAAAAAAAAAAAAATCACACAGGCCCAGCGCTGATGGCTCACGCCTGTAATCCTAGCTACTCAGGAGGCTGAGATTAGAAGATCACAGTTCAAAGCCAGCCCGGTCAGAAAAGTCCATGAGACTCTCCAATAAGCCACCAGAAAACCAGAAGTGGCGCTGTGGCTAGCCTTGAGCTGAAGAGCTGAGAGACAGTGCCCAGGCCCAGAATCAGAATTCAAGCCCCATGACTGACCATAAAAAAAAATTACTTTGGTATTTAATTATAACCTTTGCCTACTTCTGAAAAATGTATGAGTATTTGCTGCAAATACTCATTCAGTATGTAGTCAGTCACAGCTTAGTTACATATGATTTTGAAGATACTGGGAAGAAGTCTGCAAGTTGATAGTTGAGAACTATTCCAATACCTAGAAAATAGTATTATGCTGTATTTCCTGTTTGGTGAAAGGACCTCAAGAGTGTCAATTGATCTTGTGAAATTCTTTAATCTGAATTTGGCTATTTCTGGTGCTCAGTTAACTTAGGATAACTTTAGCTTTCTCAAACATAGCCTTTGATGGTTGCAGTGCTACAGTGTGAAACGAAATGAAATAGTCCCATAAAACTAATGATAGATTTTTTTTAATAGATCCCACCGGCACCACCAAGACCTGATTTTGATGCTTCAAGGGAAAAACTACAGAAGCTTGGAGAAGGAGAAGGGTCGATGACAAAGGAGGAATTCACAAAGATGAAACAGGAATTGGAAGCGTATGTGATGGTTTTTGTTATTGGCCTTTGTTAATTGTGCTTGTTTTCATGCCTTTTTTTGTGCTCTCTTATATCCCATTCTTTAGTATTTCACCATATCTTTTTGAAAGACACAAGTTTAAGTCATCCAGCTAGTGTTAATGATCATGATCAGAGCCTACAGGAAAATTACAGAATAATCTCCATTGTAAACTTTTTATGGTTTTAAGTGACTGAAAATTGAAAACCAAGGATCTAAAAACTTATTAAAAAAAAGCAGTAGAGCAAAATATAAATTGTCTTTTTTTTTTTATTTGTACGACCTAGGTCATACCAACTAGTTCTCTTTTTTTCAACATGTGTACACTAGTACAATTGCTATTTCTCATAGATGAATATATATTAAGCAATTATCTGTTTATATATGATGGTCCCTCCTCTTCTATATATAACCTCTTCTGCCTATAACCAAAACGAAAAGTAGCAAAATAGTGAGAGAATAGATAAGAATTGTTTTTCATCGAATGACTGGTAGTTTTGTATACACTGGAAATCCATTAAATCCTTGGAAAATTGATAATTCATTTTCTTTTCTTTTTTTTTTTTTTTTTTTGTCGTCTGTCCTGGGGCTTGAACTCTGGGCCTGGGCACTGTCCCTCAGCTCTTCAGCTCAAGGCGAGTGCTCTACCACTTGAGCCACAGAGCCACTTCCGGCTTTGTGAGTGGTTTATTGGAGATAAGAGTCTCACTGTCTTTCCTGACCAGGCTGGCTTTAAACCTCAGATCTCAGCCTCCTGAGTAGCTAGGATTATAGACATGAACCCCTGGCACCTGGCTTCATTTTCTATTTTTAACATATTTGCTTAAAATAAAGACTCTCCACTTTAATTAAATGTTTGAAATTTGGATTTGCTGTATATTCTTTTTCTGTATTTTGAAAACTGTACAGGAAGTTTTCTTACATTATTGTCCATCTCATTCTGGTCATTTTTTTTTCCTCTCATGCATTCCTTTTCTCTTAACACTTAGATTCAGCACTCAGTTTCAGTTTTCAAGTATATTATTCATATTGCTACCGGATTCCTCTTCAGAATTCTAAATAAACTCTTAAAAAGATAATTAGTAAAGTAGATCTTTGTTAAAGCATAAAGTGACAGATATGTTAAGAATTCTGTCAGTACTAAGTACAGGTAGTCTGATAGCAAGACAGATGTATACTTGAAAATTTCAGACTGACAATTGGAAATTAGCAGGGCACATTAATATTGAAGAGTCTGTGATTTTCCAGGGGCCCTGATCATGATTCTTTTGTGGTCTGGTCAGGGGTTGGATAACAGACAACCTTGGGTTTATTCTACTGCTACCTCCATCCTCTGCATCCTTCTTTTTTGTCTTCACTGAATGACTACCCTCACAGAGATCAAACTTCTCCCAACATTGATCTGCTGGTTTGCTGGTATGTAAAACTTACCTTCTTGCCTGTAGTTGAAGCAAGAATGTTGATCCTTTTCCTTGAGTGTTTTTCCCTTTCTTAAACTGACATATGTTACTATATTGTTGCTGGAATTCATTGATAATATTAAAATACTTAAGCATATTTCTTTGCTGTAACACCAAAAAACAGTCTATAGTGTCTCGTATATTTGGTCATTAGATGAAAATAATTATTAACATTGAAAATATGCTTACTGAGATTTGGGGTTTGATACTTTTCCTACTAAGGTATTTTAAAAGCAATAATTATATAGAAATTGAATTACTAAGGTTGTATAGATAATTTCTCCGGAGGTAAAAATAAACATTCCAAGGGCCTGAGTACTGTCCCTGAGCTTCTTTTTGCTCAAGGCTACTAGCATTCTATCACTTGAGCCACAGTGCTACTTCTAGCTTTTTCTGTTTATGTGGTGCTGAGGAATTGAACCCTGGGCTTCATGCATGCTGTGCAAGCATCTACCACTAAGCCACATTCCCAGCCTATCCAATAGTGATTTTTAACATCATCTTACATAGTAAGGAAAGTTTGTGAAACTTAAAAATATTAACATTTAGATATAATAAATACTGTTAACTAGCATGAATATTTTTCAGAGCTGTGTTTTGTGTATTTAACAGTTCAGTTAAAACCTTTGTTTACATGACTTATCTTTGCATTCCTAAATTTGTATTTAGAATAATCCAAAAAATATTTGCTGAAAAATTTGTTGAAAATGACTGTGGTTGGTACAGATTTTTACCTTTAATTTTGTATGTTGTTTCTAGTGAATATTTGGCAATATTCAAGAAGACAGTTGCAATGCATGAAGTGTTCCTATGTCGTGTGGCAGCACATCCTATTTTGCGAAAAGATTTAAATTTCCATGTCTTCTTGGAATATAATCAAGATGTGAGTATCAAATAAATGAAAGTAGTGATGGAGATTTTTTTAAGTGTCATTGAGAAAAAATCAGCGAGTACTTAGAAAATCACTAGGCTTTTTTTTTTTTTTTTGTATAGGTCTTGAGGCTTGGACTCAGGGCCTGGGCACTGTTCCTGAGCTTTTTTGTTCAAGGCTAGCACTCTACCATTTGAACCATAACTCCACTTCTGGCTTTTTTTGGTAGTTAATTGAAGATTAGATTCTTGCCTGAGCTGGCTTTGAACCTCAATCATTAGCTCGCAGCCTCCTGAGTAGCTAGGATTAAAGATACGAGGTACCAGTGCACTGGACCTTTTTTATAATTTTTTTTAATTGTTAAGGCAGTTTAAGAGTATCTTTTCACTAGAGATACCAGCATTTCAGTAGAGCTTGAGTGTATTAAAGTAGTGATGATAAATGATGTTATAGGTCAAACATCTCAAATCTCAAAGTCCAAACTTTTTCAGCACCAATATAATATTCAAAAGATTTTAGATTTTAGAGCATTTTACATTTCAAATTTTTGGATTAGGGATGCTCATTTGTTAAAGTTGTCAGATTCCATAAGCCAAAAACCTCTAAAATATGGTGCATTTCTGTTTCCAAGCATTTTGGATAAGGATACTCAACTTGTATTCAATAGAACATTGTTAGTTTTCATCCTGAGTAGAGAACTTAAGGAAAGGAGTTATTGGGCAGGAGGCATGCTTTAGTGGAATATGCCAGCCTAGCAAGTAAAAGGCCCACAGATCAAACCCTGAGTGTGGCCAAAAGGTATAAAGGGGAAAAAAAAGAAAAAGAAAGAAGTAGTGTTATTAAGTTGATTAATGTTTCTTAAATTTGAATTTAGAGTTTTCTCTTTTTCCCCCAATGTCAGACCTAGGTCTTAAATTCAGGGCCTTTGTGCTGTCCCTGAGCTTTTGTGTTCAATGCTAGTGCTCTACTACTTGAGCCACAGCTCCACTCCAGTTTTTTTAGGTAGTTAATTGGAGATAAAGGTCTCATAGGCTTTTCTGCCTGGGCTAGCTTGGAACTCTAATTTTTAGATATCTGCTTCCTAAGTAGTGAAGTAGGATTATAGGTGTGAGCCATCAGTACGTAGCAAGTCATTGACTCTTGATCTGTTGAACAAACTGTTTAGTGCTTATCTCTGCCAATTTTACTCATAACCTTCTTCTGTTCCTAAAGACTACTACATTGAAAAAGAAAAAGTGATTAAGATTTATAGATTATTTTTTTCATTTACAGATATAGGCAAAAAAAACCCCAAAAAACAATGAAAATGAATGGCTAGGTACTATAGTTCTTGCAACCTATTTTTAGACGACAAAACTAATGCATAATTTTAGTGAAAAAGAAATGTAGCATAATATTTAGACTGTGTTTGTGTTTATGTGTGTGTTTACTTTTCTGGTTTGGTTTTAGTAGATAAGAGAGTGAGTAAATAGCCTAGCTGGGTGCCGACGGCTCATGCCTGTAATCCTAGCTAATAGGGAGACTGAGATCTGAAGTTTGAATCCAGCTGGGACAGGAAAGTCCCAGTAAAGTCCATGAGACTCAACTCCAATTAATCATTGAAAAAGCTGGAAGTGGTGTTGTAGCTCAAGTGGTAGATTGGTAGCCTTGAGCAAAAGGAGTTTAGGGACAGGGCCCAGCCCCAGCCCCAGAGTTCAAGCCCAGGATTGGCAAAATAGAGTCCTGCTGGCTGTAGTGGTACATGTCAGTAATCAACAAGGAGAATGAGGCAGGAGAATCATGAAAAAAAAAATTGAGTCCTTAATTTTTTTTTTTTTTTTTTTTTTTTTTTTGTCGGTCGTGGGGCCTGAACTCTGGGCCTGGGCGCTGTCCCTCAGCTCTTCAGCTCAAGGCAAGCGCTCTACCACTTGAGCCACAGCGCCACTTCCGGTTTTCTGGTGGTTTATTGGAGATAAGAGTCTCACGGTCTCTCCTGCCCGGGCTGGCTTTGAACCGCGATCCTCAGATCTCAGCCTCCTGAGTAGCTAGGATTACAGGTGTGAGCCACCAGCGCCCGGCTGAGTCCTTAATTTTTATGTCTGCATGGGGAGCAGGAAATGCTTCTCTCTTTGTTCCTGTCTTATAATAGTAAAATCCTTGATAAAACTTCAATTTAAAAACTCGTATGAGGGCTGGGAAGGTGGTAGAGTGCTTGCCTTGCATACATGAGGCCCTGGGTTTGATTCACAACACCACATGAGCAGAAAAAGCCAGAAGTGGTTTGTGACTCAAGTGGTAGAGTGCTAGCCTTGAGCTGAAGAGCTGAGGGACAGCGCCCAGGCCCAGAGTTCAGGCACCATGACCGACAAGAAAAAAAAATTATATGAAAAAAATTGTATGAACAATTTATAGTTTCAGAAGTAAAGTATTGTAAGCATTAAGTACTTTCATAGTATGAATATGGCATGTCATACTGCCATGTTATTGTTTATAACCTAGAAACTAAAGAATACTGGCTATGCCCTGAGTTATAAGAAACTACAACAAAGAGTGTTGGGTTTACTAAAGAATACATGGCAATAGCAGATGTAGAACGTTGTCATCACTTTCTTTTTTTTTTTTTTGGGGTCCAGTCATGGGGCCTGAACTCTGGGCCTGGGCGCTGTCCCTCAGCTCTTCAGCTCAAGGCTAGCGCTCTACCGCTTGAGCCACAGTGCCACTTCTGGCTTTTATCTTTTTGCTTATGTGGTGCTGAGGAATCGAACCCAGGGCCTCAGGCATGCAAGGCAAGCGCTCTACCACTGAGCCACCTTCCCAACCCCTGTCATCACTTTCTTATCCTTACAAATTGTTTTTGTTGGACTTAGAGCAACACAGGTATGAAGCTAGGCCACTTCTAAGTACTATCCAAGGACTCTATGGCATTGCTAAAGCTCTTAGTACTAACTGAAATTATATATCTGTGTTTGAAATTTTTGTTTACATATTTATTATCTAGCTCCCCCTACTAAAATGTAATCTTTCTTTTGGTGCTGGTTATTAGAACTTGAACTCAGAGCCCTATACTCTCCCTTAGCTTTTTTGCTTAAGGTTGACACTCTACCACTTGAGCTACAGCACCACTTCAGGTTTATTAATTTCTCTATATCATCTTGAAAGAAAACATGCTTTTTTTTTTTTTTTTTTTTGCCGGTCTTAGGGCTCGAATTATGGGCTCTGGGCGCTGTCCCTGAGCTTCTTCTGCTCAAGGTGAGTGCTCTACCACTTGAGCCACTTCTGGCTTTTTTGAGTACTTTGTTAGAGATAAGAGTCTCACAAAGTTTCCTGTTCTAGCTGGCATCAAACTACAGTCCTCAGATCTCTGCCTCCTGAGTAGTTAGGATTACAGGCAGAATCCATTGGCACCCAGCAAGAAAACATTCTTGAGTATCATCATTAAAAACAGCTCTTATAAAGCAAGGGTACTACTATGTATTACTCACCGTAATACATAGCACAGTACTGTCCTACATCTATAATACTAGAGGACACAATTTGAAAAGCCTTATCTGTGACTTAATTCTACTTTTTAAGCAGAGAGCCCAGAGGATGATATGACACAGCTCTGGGGGGGAAAAAGTACTTTGTTAGATAGGATTTTCTTTCATTAACAACTAGCTACTCTAGAGGCTGAGATCTGAGGATCTTATCTCCAAGTCTTATGTAAGTCCTTATTCTCTGCATGAACCAAAATAAAACCAGTTAAAAAGAAAAAAAGCCAGAAAAAAAAAACCTACATTCCGTAACCACTAGATTCGTACAAAGATGACCAAATTAAGCAAGTGAGACTCAACCTAACTGTTGAGCCAAATCGGTCATGTTTGAATAGTAAGAACTTTAGAGAAGGAGTTGCCAAGTAGTACTTCAAAGCCTCCAACAGCAATCAAAATACAGCATCATTTCAAACAGAAGCAATAGCCAGACACTGCTCATTTGGGTATATTTGAGGATGCTGACATTAATATTTAGTCATCTGTTCATACATACAAGAAGGGGAAATCAGTTACTACTGTACTTTGTGCTCAACCCATTTTACAAAGATAGCAAGCTGCCATAATGAAAAATAAGGATCCTTTACCCAGCATCGATTATCTTCAGTGCACCTCCAAGTCTGCAAATGCTGTAACCATATCCTAAGAACATAAAGGAGAAAAGAAAAGAAACCATATCTGTATTATTTGGGACCAGTCACTGAATTGATCAGCTCATCTATTCCTCTGTCCTATTATTCTCTCCCTATTTTCTAATGTTTTCATCTAATCTATGACTAGATGAGGTTGGTTTTTTGGTTGGTTTGGGTTTTTTTTTGTTTGTTTGTTTTTTGTGTGTGTGTCAGTTGTGGGGCTTGACATCAGGGCCTGAGTGTTGTCCCTGGGCTTCTTTGTGCTCAAGGCTAGCATTCTACCACTTGAGCCACAGTGCTTCTTCCAGTTTTTGAGTGGTTAATTGGAGATAAGAGTCTCAGTAGGACTTTCCAGCCCGGCCCGGCCTGGCTTTGAACTGCAATCCTCAGATCACAGCCTCCAGAGTAGCTATAATTACAGGCATGAGCCACCAGTGCCAGCTTAGATGAGGACTTTAGATCTAAATTGTATATACTTACAGACTATTTATTTATTTGTTGGTTGTGGGGCTTGAATTCTGGGCCTGGGTACCATCCCTGAACTCTTTTTGCTGAAGGCTATAGTGCCTTGAGCTCTATAAGCCAGAGCTTATAGAGCCACAGCTCCACTACCAGTTTTTGAGTGTTTAATTGGAGATAAGAGTATTACAGACTTTCTGCCTGGAGCTGGCTTTAAATTGATCCAGCCTCCTATGTAGTTAGGATTACAGGCATGAGTCACTGGCACCCAACTCACTTTTTTTTTGTTTGGTTGTGGGGCTTGAACACTGGGCCTGGCATTGTATCTCAACTCTTCAGCTCAAGGCAAGCGCTCTACCACTTGAGTCACAGCACTGCTTCTGGTTTTCTGGTGGTTATTGGAGATAAGAAT